TGTGAAAAAGATCTGCCAATAGAACTTGAGTCGAACCTGGAGAGTTTCTAGTGTATAATTCGCATATGCTAATTTGCAATAAGTTCGAAATATATACTACTTTCCAGAGAACGGCCCTTGTAAGCCATCATCCACACCAAATATGCCTGATGAGCCGCTTAACCAACGGCGAAACGCGTCGCATAGTGGTGAGTGTGTGATAGTGTCTATCTGGCTTTCCTTTTCACTGCAAATTTCAGATCATTAAGCTCGTCTCGAAAGAGAAAACAAACACATAAATCATAAAACATATGATCTTTGCCTTAACAAGGCAAAACTCAAAAATAATTTTCTTTCAGCCGGAAAACACGATACACCCTCCCGACATACGCAGACCGAATTATTAAATTTTTTCCACATTCCGACCTATCTCTAAGTACTTGCTTCACTGTGTTACATTTCCCTCATTTCATATTTGTTTTCCTACTTTACATCCTCCTTCGATTGAGTTTGAGTTATTTTTTCCAATATTCACCACAATTACCAAATCAAATATGCTCTCCAAAAGCCTTTCAACATCAATCTAAGATAATAGTCCTTGTAACGATATATCAAATTTCGAAAAACATCATCGAAAAAAACAGCAACAACAGCATGTCGAACATTATTGGAAGTAGTAGATGGAGAAGAAGGAGCAGAGCAAAAAAATAAATTAAATCACATGACTGCCTAACAACGAAACGAAGGAGATGATTGGACATCAACGTAAACAACATCTAACGTGTATACAGGTCTAATGTCGGGAAATCATCTACACACAGACATGTACTAATACACATATGCACACACACATGAAATGCATGTATGCAAAATATGTTGCTGTAGATGGAAAAATAAAAACAGCAAAAGAAAAATATGTTTACCAAAAATGAAAATTGTACCAATCCTCTTACATTCCAGCACTTGACATGTATGAACCCTATACAACACAACAAGTAGTTGCTGTAAACGACTTGGAGAAGAAGAAGAAGCTGGTTTCACACAGTCAGTCACACTTACGATGTGGAGCAGGGATGGGAAATCGAAGGTATCTTTTATAGACAGAATCCTATAACTGTCGTTTAAGGCGTGGATTTTTCAATTTTTTTCAAAGTACCTTTGATTTGCGGATTTTTCTGAAATATTGTTTCATTATAGGCGTGAATTTTTTAAAAATTATTTTTCCGAAGGACCTTGTTGTTTTGGAGGACCATTAGAGGCATGGATTTCTTAAAAATAATTTTTTCGAAGGGCTTGGATTTTTTAATATTTTTTCAAGAGACGTTTAAAGCCGCGGATATTTTTTTTTTTTTTTTTGAAATATTTTTTAAAGAACCTTTAGAAGCTTGGATCTTTAGAGGCGTGGATTTTTTTTAAATATTTTTGAAAGGACCTTTTTAGGCTTGGATTTTTTTAAATAAGAAGAGCCATTTTCCAAGGACCATCATAAACTTGGCTTTTTAAAAAATATGTTTTAAGGGCTATCACAAAAGTGAATTTTTGAAAATTATTTTTCTTTCAAAGACCATAATAAGTAGAGATTTTAAAAATATTTTTAAGGACCTTCAAAAACTTTGATTTTTTACAATTTTTTTTTTTAGACCATCATAGGTGGAGATTTTATCAAAATACTTTTTCAAGGACCTATAAAAACGTGGATTTTTTTTAAAATATTTGTTTCAAGGACTATTATAAGCGTGGATTTTTTTAAAATATTTTTGTAGGACCTTAAACGGCTTGGCTTTTTAAAAATATTTTTTTGAAAGACCATCATAAAAGAGGATTTTTTAAAAATATTTTATTCAAGGACCATTATTAGCGTGGATTTTTTAAAAATATTTTTGTAGGACATTAAACGGCTTGGCTTTTTTAAAAATATTTTTTTCAAGGACCATTATAAGCGTGGATTTTTTAAAAATATTTTTTTCAAGGACCATCATGAACGTGGATTTTTTAAAAATTATTTTTTTAAGGAACCATTGGAGGCGTAGATTTTTAAAAAATATTTTTTTCGAGGACCATCATGAACGTGGATTTTTTAAAAATTATTTTTTTAAAGAGCAACTGGAGGCGTGGATTTTTTAAAAATTATTTTTTTGAAAAACCATTAGAGTCGTGAATTTTTAATAAAAAAATTTCTAGAAGAACAATTGGAGTCGTAGATTTCTTAAAAAATATTTTTTTAAAGAACCATTGGAGGCGTGGATTTTTTTAGAAATTATTTTTTTAAAGAACCATTGGAGGCGTGGACTTTTTAAAAATTATTTTTTTTAAAGAACCATTGGAGGCGTGAACTTTTTATAAATTATTTTTTTAAGAATCATTGGAGGCGTGGACTTTTTATAAATTATTTTTTTAAAGAATCATTGGAGGCATGGACTTTTTAAAAATTATTTTTTTAAAGAACCATTGGAGGCGTGAACTTTTTATAAATTATTTTTTTAAAGAATCATTGGAGGCGTGGACTATTTATAAATTATTTTTTTAAAGAATCATTGGAGGCGTGGACTTTTTAAAAATTATTTTTTGAATGACCTTAGACCGTGGATTTTTAAAAATGATTTTTTGAATGACCTTATACCGTGGATTTTTAAAAATTATTTGTGGATTTAAAAAAAAAATATGCGAAAAACCATTGGAGGCGTGGATTTAAAAAAAAATCGAAAAACCATTGGAGGCGTATATTTAAAAAAGATCGAATAACCATTGTAGGCGTGGATTTGAAAAAAAAAAATCGAAAAACCATTGGAGGCGTGGATTTAAAAAAAATCGAATTACCATTGTAGGCGTGGATTTGAAAAAAAATCTAAAAACCATTAGAGGCGTGGATTTAAAAAAAAATCGAAAAACCATTGGAGTCGTGGATTTAAAAAAAATCGAAAAACCATTGGTGGCGTGGATTTAAAAAAAAAAATCGAAAAACCATTGGAGGCGTGGATTTAAAAAAAATCGAAAAACCATTGGTGGCGTGGATTTAAAAAAAAATCGAAAAACCATTGGAGGCGTGGATTTAAAAAAAATCGAAAAACCATTGTAGGCGTGGATTTAAAAAAAATCGAAAAACTATTGGTGGCGTGGATTTAAAAAAATTCGAAAGACCGCAGGCCGTGGATATTCGGTATTTTGATGATTTTAGCTACATTATTCACCGATTTTTTTAAGTTTCGCATTTGAATATTGTAATGGCTTATGACAAAAGTTAACTATGTAGATACATGTCGTCGTATATACCCTAAAATAATTTTTAAGATTTTAACGGATTTTATTGTTTTTGAGAAATGCCAAATTCGTTCGGCCCGGCCGAACTTACAGCTTTTATAATTATTTAAAAATATTTTTTAGAAGGACCTTCAAAGTCGTGAATTTCTCAAAAATATTTTTTTGAAAGACCTTTAAAGCTTAAATTTTTTTACAGGGGCATTCAAAGTCGTGGATTTTTGAAAAATCTTTTCAAAAAGACCTCAAAGGCGTATATTTTTTAAAAATATTTTTTAGAAAGGCCTTAAAGGCGTGTATTTTTTAAAAATGTATTTATGAAATGCTTCGAAGGCGTGGATTTTTTAAAAATATTTTTTGGAAAGACGTTTTTAAATATATTTTTAAAAGGACCTTTAGAGGCGTGAATTTTTTAAAAATATATTTTTAGAAAAACCTTTAAAGGCGTGGATTTTTTTAAAAATATTTTTTGGAAAGACGTTTTTAAATATATTTTTAAAAGGACCTTTAGAGGCGTGAATTTTTTAAAAATATATTTTTAGAAAAACCTTTAAAGGCGTGGATTTTTTAAAAAGATTTTTAGAAAGACCTCGCAGGCGTGGATTTTTTAAAAATATATTTAAGAAATGCGTCAAAGTCGTGGATTTTTTTAAACATATTTTTAGAAGGACCATTAAAGGCGTGGATTTTTTAAAAATATATTTTTAGAAGGACCTTTAAAGGCGTGGATTTTTTAAAAATATATTTTTTGAAGGACCCTTAAAGGCGTGGATTTTTTAAAAATATATTTTTAGAAGGACCTTTAAAGGCGTGGATTTTTTAAAAATATATTTTTTGAAGGTCCCTTAAAGGCCTGGATTTTTTAAAAATATATTTTTAGAAAGACCTTTAAAGGCGTGGATTTTTTAAAAATATATTTTTAGAAGGACCTTTAAAGGCGTGGATTTTTTAAAAATATATTTTTTGAAGGACCCTTAAAGGCCTGGATTTTTTAAAAATATATTTTTAGAAAGACCTTTAAAGGCGTGGATTTTTTAAAAATATTTTTAAAAAGACCTCAAAGTCTGGATCTAAAAAAATGCAAGGATCATCATAAATGTGGATTAAAAAAAATTAAGGACCATCATAAATGTAAATTTAAAAAAGAAATCAAGGACCATCATAAACGTGGAAATAAGAATTAAAACACTTTCTATAGGTCCTTTTCAGATCGAAAAATTTTAATAGGACTTTCACTGCAAAAACGCCTTCTAAATTATCACAAAACCTCTAAAGATTTTTATGGTGAGGACAACCAAGATCTCACCTTTCCATCCCCGGCATAACCCCTTGTATGCCCACATCTCAGCACCCAAATTGTGTTGCTACTGCCGTTGCTACTTGATCTGATTTTCAGGGGAGCGTATAATGATTGACTTACAACTACATGTTAAAAAGATTTTTAAAACTCACACACACACACACCTACACCCAGATTCAATTTCAAATACTCGTATATGGAATGAAATGTGAATTCTCCCCCTTTTCACCCACCCTTCCTCGCCTTGGATTATATGTCAATTATCAAGGAATTCCAAGGAAAATGAAGGACTTAGCCGTGTTAAGAAGTTGAAAGAGATTGGTTGAATGCTAAATGCCATTACCGGGCTTTGGCATGCTCATGGGTGGGTGGGTGTTTGTCGGAGAACCCGTAGAGCAACAAGTATTTTAAAAGGATATTTTAGAAACGTGTAAAAGTTAGTGGTAGTAGTAGTTGTTGTACTCACCTTATACCTCCCACATTTAATATTATGCGATTTTCGCCATCCATTTTGTTGCTGCTGCTGCCGTTTTTGCTGCTGCTGCTGTTGTTCTTGTAATGGCTGCTGTTGTTGTAACAAATTGAATGCACAATTTATCATTCCAATTGAAATTCAAAACGTGGGGAAAAACGTTGTGGATTTGTTTTCCCTTTTTGTTAAAGGTGAGCTGCTGCTGAGCTGGCTAAGGTTTATCGTTTGAATCGTTGTTCTCGCCTTCGTCGTCTTTTGTGTTTCTCCTTTTATGGTCGTGGCAGTTTGTATTTTGCTTCTTTTTTTTTTTTTTTTGTTCTGTTCTTGGTCTTTGGATTAGAAATCCTTTCTTTTTTGTGTTACAATTTTTTCGATTTCAATGATAGGGGATTTTGTTGTTGCCGATGTTGTTGTTGGGTGTAGCTTTGATAAAATTCCTGGGAAACATCAAGGCTAATCTATCGAAGTCCATACATCTTTGTTAGGCACACATATCTCCACAGAAAAGAAAAGTCCCCCAAAAAAAGAAAACCTCGAAGCAAAGGTATGCCTGCCTATGCCTATTCGTGTGTGTGTGTAAATATGTTTGTATGTGTGTGTGTTAGGCCTTGTATACTCAAATTAACAGCTCATTTCTTCCACTTTTTTTTGGAAGGTACAAAGCAGGGGGCTTAGTGATAGCATTGTTTATGTTACGGATGCTGAAATAATGGCGCTGATGGCGGTGTTGATGGCATTTACGCTTCGCTCTGATGCCAGTCGAACTAAACCAAACCGAGCCAACCAACCAACCAGCCAGCCCGTCATTCATCCAACCACCATTGTTTTGTTGTTATTTTATTCCTCTGCTCTTGTTTTTGTTGTTGATGTTATATGTTTTATTCAATGGCATTTGTCATTTTGTTAAAGCTTAGTTCAGCTCAGTTTTCTTCTCGTAGCGATTGTTGTTGTTGTTGTTATTGTTGCCTTGTTAAATGGCTTAATTGCACTTAAGTTGCCACTGAATGAATGACATTAATTAGTTAATACCCGTCGCACTCTTCTTAAAACTCAACTCAACAACGACAATAACCAGCGGCAGCGTTAACATTACCCGCCAACAACAAAAGACCGACAACCTAAGGCTGGCAAAACCTAAAGGGCCAACAACATTTCAACAACAAACGCCAACGAGCAACTTTTTTTTTTTTGTTTTATTTGGTTTTGTTGTTTTATTTTCCCATCCGTGTGAGAGAATGAAAACACGTTTTTAATAATGAAAGGACTTTTAATTTGTTACTCTTATCGCCGTACAGCTACAGCTACTCACTCATCGCTTACATGTTTGTGTGGGTGTATGTGGGGAGGACATATGTGTGTGTGTGTGTGTGTTTGGTTGGAGGGGGCAAAGGAGGTAATGCTTTTAGCAATGACACTTGAAACAGAGATGCCATGTCTGGTGATGGTTTCACAGGAAAACTTAATGTAAAAAGATTGACATATTTTAGTATCTTAAGTTCGAAGGGGCAAACTTTTTTAGGTAAAACGGGTCAAATCGGCTACTCTCAAAATCCCTAGAATTTGGAAGTTTCCTAAAATTGGGATGAATAACGCCCAGACGAAACGTTTGAGGCTAGAATCTTGAGGGTCACTCTTGGTTCGAAGGGGTCGGATAAGGCTGGGTTTTTGCAAATTCGTGCTAGAACGGTACGAAAAGTAAAAGTAAAAGGTACTAAAAACAGGGTGAGATAAAAAAAATGCAACAAGGTCAAACGCCGTTGAATGAATGCAAAAAATGTCGGAAATAGCATGAAAGTTTAGAATAAGTTTAGATTTGTTCGAATTGGTCACCTTTGACATGAATTGAATTATGGCCTTCAAAATGCTGCTCTGCGATATTTTGGTCCATTCCCGGCGAAGCGCTTGCTTGAGGTGATCAACACTTTAATATTTTTTAGTGCCAACCTTGCTTCCAAAATACTCCAGCCATTGTGCGCTGGAAATGAAGCGAGGAACCTCATTTTATAGCCATTCTTAGGTGGCGCGTGCTGAGTCCTGATGGAATGTTAATACACCCTCCCTTTAATACACCCTCCAGAATATTTTCGCGATAATATTCGGCATTTATTCTGATGCCACGGTCGATTAATAAGAGCGGAGAGCAACCATTGGTTGTTATGGCGGCCCACACCATCATCATGGCCGGCGCTTGAGTCCTGGTGACCAACAGAAGGTGCACATTTTCAGCTGACCTCTTTGGCAAGTAATCACAATCATTTTGTTTGTTTACAAAATCCTGGACAACGAATTTTTCTCATCGAAGAAAAACAAATTCGGCAGTTCCCCGTTCACCACCTTCGGCCAAGCGAAGCAACTCTTTAGCACTTTTGAGTCTATTTTTTCTGTTGCGGTGTAAGTTCTTGCACTTTTTGGAATTTCAATGGCTTTACCACGAGCTCATTTTTCAATATTTGCCGAATGAAATATTGCTCAGGAGCCATTTTTCGGCCACTGCGACGCGGGTTTCGATCAAGTCGCTTCTTTACTTTTCGAACCATTTCTGCTGATGTTGCTTTTTTCTTCCGTCCACGTCCTTGACGTCGGGCTACGCTACCAGTATCAGGGTAACGAGCGATGGTACGAGACACAAACGATTTATTCACATATAAATGCTGGAGTGCACTAACGATAGCCAAATAGCTATCACGCTTGTATTCCATCACGAATAACTTTTTTTCTGAAAAATTTTCACCAAAATGCTTTTGTAATGAGCTGTCACTGAAATAATTTTAGCAGCTGTCGGACAAGTGGCTTAGAAATGGCAGCAGTCTGAAGTTGGTTGCAGTTTTTTCATCTCACCCTGTATGGCACCCTTGGTATTTGACGAAACAGTAGAGCTAGAACTCTTAGATTTGGAATGAGGGTCATTAATGGAGTGTATGATGATGAGTACTAAAAGGTTTTTGGAAATTTGCACCATAAGTGTACGAAAAGTACTAAAATTTACAACATTTGGTATTATTTCGTATCATGTGAACGCTTAGAGCTAAAAACTGGAAATTCAGAATGGAACTTAAGGTTGAGGAGTAGAAACGATGTAAGGAGGCAGTTTTGCAGGTGCGTGCTTATGTATACGAAAAATAGTAAACGTACTAAATTTAGTACAATTTGAATTTAGAGGAACATATGAAACTGGAATTCAGTATTTTCAAATTAACATTATTGGTGGAATGTATACGAAATATATACTTATGTGCACGAAGAGTACCAAGTGGTACTAAATTTGGTTCAATTTTAATTTGGGTGCCATAGAGCTGAAATTTTGAAATCTAAAAACAAGATTACTATTGCATTCTCGGACTTAGGAATGTAGGCAGTTTTGGAAATTCGTACTTATGTGTACTAAATGGTACTAAATTTTGTACAATTTAAAATTTGGGTAGAACGAATGAAATGTAATCCTGAAATTTGGAAATATGATTCAATTGGACTATATGTAGTTATGAAATATTGTACTTAAGTGTACTAAACCGTACTAAATTTAGTACAATTTGGTTAAGGGTTGACGGATGAAGCTGGAATTTAAACATTTTGTTGTAAAGAGGTGGTTTTGAAAATGTGTAGTACAAGTGCACGAAAGTACCAAATAGTACCATATTTGGTACAAATTTGGTATTGGGTGAACATATAGTGCTTGAAATATGAAATTTTGTTATAGGGTTGCTCTTCATGTGTAGCCCGGACATATGGAGGTGGTTTCGAATATGTGTACTACAATTGTACGAAAAATACTAAATGGTAATTTTTTGGAAATTAGAAGAAGGGAAATGGATAATATTCTGAAATTTGATATTTTGATAACTGCTAGTATTTGAGGTTGGGGATTGGAGGTAATTTTGAAATGTGTACTATGATTGTACGATACGGATAAATGCACGAAAAGTACTAAACAGTACTATATTTGGTACAAATTGGTAATGGGTGAACAGATTGTGTATGAAGTCTAAAATTAGTCTTCATTTGTAGCCTGGATATATGGAGGCGGTTTCGGAAATTTTTATTATAATTGTTCGGAAAGTACTAAGTAGTGCTAAATTTGGTACTGGATGAATGTATAGGGCTGGAATCTTCAAATTTGAAGATTGGAATTGGGATATGGAGGTGGGGGGAATATGTACTATATTTGTACGCTAGATCGTCTTAGAATTCTACGCTTTTATGAATATTTCGAGGAGTTACAAACGGAATGACAAAGATAATATACCCTCCATAGAATGGTGGAGGGTATAAAAATTAAATTCGACATATGAAGATTTGATTTTAAAACAATAGTTTTAAAATTTTTAGAACTGTTGGAACGAATTTAATATTTTAAGGTGTTTTTTTTCGCTGCCGAAGTAGCAGGCATTTGCTGGTCTATCTCTGAAAACCACTGAAAATATTTCCAAATATTTCCTTCTAAACAAAATACACTGTTTTGTATTTTAATCTAGATGATCTATATTTCCATGTCATGCTATTTCCTTGCCCCAAAAAAAAGTTTGGCATCTCTTCGGCACTTACTTGGAGACAATACATCCAAAAACCCGTGACGCTCAAACACACACACACACATGTGGAACATGGCAAATGTTATTATATTCGCTCTCATTATCTAGCCTGGTCGTAAAAAATATAAAACTATAAAATATGGAGAGAGCTTGGTTCGAAACGAAGGGGTTGAGTAGTTGACTTTATTTTCCAAAAGGGGGATTATTTCTCATTTCCGGAACATCATAATGTATGCATACACACGTATGTGTGTGCCAGGACGTGTGGCTGTGTACGTGAGCGTAAAAAAAGAGTTCCTATTGCTTTTTTCCTTTGTTGTTGGTGTTCTCGTTGTTGTTCTGGACTAAATGAGTGAGTGTGAACATAGTTCGTGTTGCGTGCGTGCCTTGAGTTTTAGACTAGAAAACTGTTAATTGGTTAGCAACATGTTAATAAAATGTCTGTCTGGCTAATAAAATAAGGAAACCGAGACAAGAATAACATACGCGGCTGTCTAGCCAAAAGGATATTAGGTATTGACAGGACAAGACAGGATGGATGGATGAAAAAAAGAAAGACAAGAAAAACCCAAGAAAGCAACCCCACCATATTTATAGATATTCCCTTGCGGCAACAATAATAACAAGAGCAAGAACAACGGTATTGTTGTAATTTGTTGTTGTTTTTTTATTTTTCGTTTTGTTGCTGGTGTGTGAATTTAAACATGTGTGTACAGAGGCGAGAGAGAGAGAGAGTGAGTGAGAATCAGAACGGAAAGTGGCCATCCAAGTGGCCACTATTGACTTATTAATGGCGGGGTTCAACAGAGATTGAAAATTTGAAGGAATGTTGTTGGGAACATGCGTCTGACGGCTGACTGACGTTCTTGGGTTCGCTTGTTGGTTTTTGTTTTGTTTTGTTTGCATGTTGTCTAAGTCAACAGGACGACGACAACAAAACGGTTGAGATATTGACACCAAGTGCTGGTCCAACAACACTTGCCCCATTGGGCGCCAACAACCAACACAGCCAACCATAGCATTGACATCAAACAAACATTTACATTGTAAAACTTTGTGGTTGTATGCCTTAACTGCTGCACGTTGAGGCGCACACACATACACACACAGGGAGGCACATAAACTGCACTATACCCGCCTGGCATGGCTTGGTTTACCATTCAATTTCACGACAACGAAGGACCACGATAACGACTGAAACATGGTTAGGCGACAATATTTCATGTTTTATATTATTACTTACACACAGACACACACACACTCACACACATTAACTAACTCACACTCTTTCGCTCACTCACGTACCCAGTTATCTATTAACAGAGCAATGGTCGGTGTCTATATCCTTTGTGCTTTTCATGCCAGCCAGCCAGCCCCTCTGCCTTCGTCATTGAGTTCGCAATGTGATGGTGGGGAGCAGACCAAACCACCGTATCCAAAAAAAAAACTCCCAAAATGATTTTTTCGCTTCTCACAAATGTAATTAAATTAAATTCAAACTTTTTTGTTGCTCTTTTCTTTACTTTTTCAACCTCAGCCTCCTGCGGGGAATAGTTGTGGCATCTGGCCATAACAACACATTATATTTGTTCTTATTAGTAACTTGAATGGCCTACTCCTCCTCCGTTTTCCGTTAAGTTATGGCCATTAAGATTT